CCCTGAGCCCGCCGGGTCCCCCTTACATGAGGGACATCGGTCCTGCGCGGTGCCCTGAGGCCCTTGCCCTCGGCCTCGGGGTCCGAGACCCTCTCCCGCCCAGAGCCGGTGGTTCGGTCTCCCCCTGCCCCGGAGCGATTGGTAGGTCCCACGTGTATGACGCACTGTGGGCAGTCGGTATCGGCAGGAGGTGCCTGGCGCTGCCTGCTCGGCGGGGCTGCTACCGTCGCGGCCCCGGCGCCCGGAAGGATACAGCATGAGCAGTCGCAGCTCCCGTTCTTTCTGCTTCATCTTCTTCAGGATGGTCAAAAGGCCCATGGTCCTGTAGCCCCGTCCCGGTCCTCCTTTCCTCTAGTCCCGGGACCCCACTCCCTGTTCTTATTGGTCACAATACCCACTGACCGCACACCCGATTGGTCGGCCGCTCCTTTGGTCCCGCCTCACCACCACGTGATCGCGAGCGTCCGGCGGAGCTACAGCCTGGCGTCCTCTAGCGGTTGCTGGGCTCCTGCGCTTACCGCGCGTTAACCCTTTGCCTCCCGAGGGCCGGGCGTGGGGGGCGCAAAGGCAAAGTCCGCGTTCCTTCCTCCCAAGACTCGAGTTCTCCGAGGACTCGGCCGGGAACGAGAAGCTGAAGTCCCTGAGTTGCATTTCGGCAGGGTGGGGACTGCCTGCAGAGGGGTTCCGATCCAGAGGTGTTGACGAGCTAGTCCCCGGAAACTGGGGTCAAATCCTGAGCATCTTGGGCTTTGGCATCGACTTAAATGTACCAGTGAAGGAGAAGAAAACGGGCCTTCCCTTTCCTCGGCTCGCGTAGATTCTCAATCAAGGGCGGTAATGCCCTCTAGAGGCTGTTTCGCAGTGTGCGTGGGCGACTTTGTGTTGTTCGGGTGACAGACTAGTCCTTGTAGTTGGGAAAACTCAGCGCGCTGCAATGCAGGGAACAGACCCAGCGCAAAGGATTGTCCGGTCTAAGATGTCAAAGCTTCAGGTTGAGATGTGCAGTTCCTTCTCTTGCAAATGAGGCAGCGAGGCCCAGGTGGGGCTTAGCACATGGCTGGCATGTAATAGGTGCTCAATAAATATTTCTTGTTCAATGACTTTTCCGAAGAGTTTTGTTCTGTATTTTTAGCGCTCAAGAAGTGCAGAGAAAGTGAGGAAACTGAGGCAAGAGACGAAGCAGACTGTAAACTTAGAGGAGTGAGAGCCTAGTCTTATTTTTAGGCCTTCCTCCAGATGGCTAGAGTAATTATGAGCAGGCAGCTCTGATGGCCTCTTTTGGCCAGGGGAGGGACAGCAGAAGATAGTGGCCAACTCCAAACGTTTACAACCCACTCTGTATGCTCTCCATCCCCCTGCAACCCTGAAAGATTTCATTATTTTGTTGTTGTTGTTGTTGTTGGTTTTTTGAGACAGGGTCTTACTATGTAGTTGAGACTGACCTGGAACTCACTGTGTAGCCCAGGCTGGTCTCGAATTCACAGCAGTCCTCCTGCCTCAGCCTCCCAAGTGCTGGGATCACAGGCTTGTGCCACCACACCCAACTTCATTGTTTTTTGTAGATGTGACTTTGAAGCCCACAGAGTTAAAGGACCCTGAGTGAAATTCTGACTCAGGTAAAGTGCACTGTCTTTCTAGATGCTTTGGGGGAGTCGGCCTAGAGAGGGGGAGCTCAGGAAGGGGCCAGTTTCCCAGGGTGCAAAGGGAGGTGGTGGGCAGATGACACCGGACAGAGAGGGAGGTAAAGTGGGTCCTGTGTGTGGACACCAGTGGCCGCCACCAAACATACTAGGGGAGAAAGTGAGCATGACTCCTTCTCAAGAGATTTCAGAACACAGCTGTATTCTAAATGGGAAATGCCCAGACCCTAGGGGCCTGTCATCCTGCCATCCTGCCTCTAGGAATCTATGCTACAGAGTTCCAGCCCTGCATTAAACACTGGTGACAGGGAAGTTCATTCTGTCATGGTTTGGAACATCAAGAAAGTCCACATGCCTTCAGTGAGAGCTGGTTAACTGGACTAGGGTTTCGGCAGGTGGTAGAGTCCCGGAAGCCTTTAAGAATGGGGAGGTCGGGCCAGGGATTTAGCTCAGTGGTTCCAGCGCCTGTCTTGCAAGTGCAAGGACCCAAGTTCGGTCCCAGGTCCAAACGTGGGGGGGGAGATGGCTGGAAGTGGCGGCACATACCTATGATCCTAACAGGAGGCTGAGGCAGGAAGATCTCTGTGAGTTTGAGGCCAGTCTGGGCTACATAGTAAGTTCAAGGTCAGCCTGGACTACAAAGTGAGCCCCTGTCTCAAAAAACCAAAACCAAATAAATAAGAAACCAAGAGGGTGAAATGGAGTTGTAACACCCATGTTTACAGGTATCCATGCCACATCTTAAGTGAAAACAAATACTCATCTGTTTTTAAAATAGCAATCACTGTAAGTGTACCCACTAAGAAATGTTTTTCAGAGTATAAGATGCAGTTCCAAAGTGGACTGTGAAATCAGTGTCACAGATAGGATGAACCATGTGAATTGCTAGTACTCGACTGTGTCTATAAAGACACTGATTTCATGTGGTTCAACTCAACATTAACAAAATTTAAATAGCATGAACAGACCAGAAAATATTGCTACCTTATCCAGGTAGTGTTTGGTCACACATTTGCCTCACTGTAGGTCACAGTCATAGATGTTTGAAAATGGCTGCAATTTAGCTGTTAACACCAGGAAGTAAGTTTGGGGGAAATTTAAAGTTACTATGTTAAGCACTTCAGATTGTTTCATTGCCACCAGCCTTGAAATAGTTGTTCAAATGTCAGCCTTCAAGTCCTGACTGTCCAAATTGTTGTGGCTTCCCAGGAACCACACAGTAGGATTTCAAAGAATAGTGACTAAACAAACCACTTCCCAGATCTGTGAAAGGGAAGAGCTGGGGAAATAACTGGATTAACTTTTTTTTTTTTTTCTCATTTTGGTTTTTTGAGACAGGATCTTGCCATGTAGTTCAGGGTGACCTTGAACTCACTGTGTAGCCCAGGCCGGCCTTGAACTCATGATGTTCCTGCTGCCTCAGTCAGCCTCCCAAGTACTGGGATTACAGACGTGTGCTACCACGTCCGGCTGGGTTTAACATTTGACTAATTGCCCTTAGCTAAGAAATCAATGGGTGAAGGGGCTTTTTCTTTATTTTTTTATTTTTTTGAGACAGGGTCTCACTATGTAGTTGAGACTGACTTGGAACTCACTATGTAGCCCAGGCTGGTCTGGAACTCACAGCGATCCTCCTGCCTCAGCCTCCCGAGTGCTGGGATTACCAGCATGCACCACTATGCCCGGCAAAGGGTCTTTTTAAAATGAGGGTAATGTTGGGTGTGATGGCACAAGCCTGTAATTCCAGCACTCTGGAAGGCTGAGGCAAGAGGATCACAAGCTCAAGATCAGCCTGGGCAACTGAGTGACTTAGTGAGACCCTGTCTCAAAAATGGGGGTGGGCGGGCTGGGAATGTAGCTTAGTGCAGAGGCCCTGGGATCAATCCCCAACACCATACACAGTCAGTCAGTAAGTACATAGGGTAGGAGCCTATGCCAGGCTTTTTTATTTGCCTCCTGGAAAGGAGGAAAGAGAGCTCTCAAAACCCCTGAGAAATACCTTTAAGGAAAAACTGGGAAGATATATAGAGCTATAATTATATATAACAGTTTTATATATATCTTGCTCCCTTCCCCTAAGAAGGATCATGAAATTAAAATATCCCAATCCTGACAGCTGTGAAACCTGCTTTTGAAAGGAGGACTTCTTAGGGCTAAGTGGATTGTAACTTGAGGATAGAGTTCTAGATCATTGTAAAAAGATGTGTTTGTCTAGTGTAAAACTTGTGGTATTATAGCCGGGTATGGTGGTGCACACCTGTAATCCCCACACTCAGGATGCTGAGGCAAGAGGATTGCCACGAATTCACCGCCAGCCTGCACTTCATAGTGAGACCCTGTCTCAAAAGAAATTTTTTTTTGGCATTACAGTTTTAATTTTACTGAACATGATGGTCCGTGCCTGTAGTCTTAGTTACCTGGGAGGATGAGGCAGGAAGACTGCTTGAACCCAGGAGTTCAAGGCCAGCCTGGGTAGTATTGTGACACTGTCTCAAACATATAAATAAAAACGAGCCAAGCATGCTGGTGCACACCTGTAATCCCAGCACCTGGGAGGCTAAGGCAAGAGGATCACCATAAATTCGAGCCCGGCCTGTGTTAGTGAATTCAGCACCTGCAATGTTCAAGTACATAGCAAGATCCTCTCTCTCAAAAAAGATATAAATAAAAATGGTTTAGCATTTTAATCAGCTATTCTTCATAGGTAACCTTTATAGTCATAAGGGAAAAAAATAATAAAAACTTTTTCTGGAACTAAAAGGGAAAAACCCAAGAGAAGAGCACCCTTGTTGGCGACGCACCTAAGTGGAGGTTTGTTTCTGTTCAGCAGTAAACAAAGAACTGGATGGTTGAATGTACAGCCTGAACCCAGAGGTGGCAAACTGCACCCGCACCACAGCTGTGCCTGTCCCGCCCTAGCACTCCCAGCCTTGTCGTCCTGAGGGTCTTCAGTAACCAGGGCAGCCCCGTGCCCTTGCTGGGCACTGACTGTTGAAGGGAATGCAGAGCCAAATGCCTCAAATGATGAGTCAGGCTGTCCTAGCAGCTCTATTCAGGTCTAAACCCAGCTGCCAGGTGTGGGAGCCAGAGGAGGCTTCCTCTCCACCTTCCGGATGACACGAAGTGCCCTTACTCATCCCTGTGCTAGCTCCAGGAGCACATGACATCCAAGGCTTTGCCAGAACTCGGGTTGGGATGGACTTGAAACTTCCCATGCTACGGCTGTGTCCACCTCTCTAGAAGGCTGTGCTACTGCTTCCGGTCCCACAGGCTGGGGCTGGGGAGTGACAGTGCAGTGACCGCAGACACCTGCCAGGTCCCCAGGCTCTGCTAGGCCTTGCCCAGTGAGCTGTCTCCATGCCACCTGGATGGCTGCAGCAGCCCCCAAGCAGTTCTCTGCTCCCCTTTCCTTCCCTGGGCATGGGAGCCATTTTTTATGTGCTTGGGATGGAACCCAGAACTTGGCTTGTGCTAGGCAAACGTTTGCCAGTGAGCTATACCCCCAGCCCTGTGTCAGATTCTCTCTTCTCGGCCCAGAAGCCCAAGGTCTTCTGTGCCTGCTGAAGGGCCCCATTGTTTTCTTGCTGCTCAACACCTCACCAAGCCTATCTGGGCCTGGAGTCTCAGCCCAACCCTCCTCCGCCTCTCTTCATGCCTTTGCTTAAATGTCCAGTGTGCCCCCCACCAAAAAAAAAAGTTGTTGGTTTTTGTTCTTTTTTTGTACCAGTATCTCGGGGAGGCCTAGCTTGATCTCCATATTTAAACATGAAACTCATCCACCCCCACATTCCTCAAGTCCTTTTCTGAGCTGTTTCCTCCATGGCACTTATGACCTTCTCCCAGGCTATAAAATTCACTTAATTTGTTATCTCCCCACACCCCCTAGAAGGGAAACCAAAGAATGGGGATTTGGACACCTATTTATTTTTGTGATGCTAGGGATGGAACCCAGGACTTCACACATGCACGCATTTTACTGAATTACACCCCCTGGCCCTCAAATCTTTTTATTTTATTTATTTATTTTATTTTATTTTATTTTACTTTTTGAGACAGGGTCTCACTATGTAGTTGGGACT